TTGGGCGATCCACAAATGGGAGGATAATTACAATTGCAGAGGTTCTCCCCAAGGAGGAGTAGCTGGAGCCCTACACTGGATTCCCCAGCCCAGGAGTCCTGTACCAGGAAGATGAGCTCCCAGAATGTTTGGCTTTGAAAGCCAGTGGGGCTTACTTTCAGGAGACAGAGGGTTGTGGGAAATACTCTGCTCTCACATGCTCTGAGACCCAGGGTAGAAGCAGTAATTTGAAAGGAACGTAGGTCAGATCCATCTGCTAATCTTGGAGAGCCTCCCAGAGAGGCAGGAAGCAACTGGAGCTCACCTGGGGGACACAGGTACTGGCAGCAGCCATTTTTCAGAGCTTGTTCTACCATGAGGACACTAGTGCTGGCAACTGCCATTTTGGAATCCTCCCTCTAGCTTATCAGCCCCAGGACCTGGACCACCCACCAGCCTCTTTGCACCAGTACTGGGACACCCCATGCCAAGCAACTAGCCTGGCAGACATAGCCCCATCCAACAGCATGTTGGCTGCTTAAGATCCCCTAAACCCAAAGCCACCCTAGGAACCAGCCCTATCTACTAGAGGGCACAGGACCTGGCCCTGAATACCAGTGCTCTGGCACTAGCTCTGGGACCCATATGGCCCTACAGCCCAAGGCACTGGGCCCTAGCTCTGCCCACTAGTGGGCCGACACATCAACTCTGGGATCCTCAGGACCTTACAGCCAGAGACTCCAGAATCTGGATCTACCCACCAGAGAGTTGGCATTAGTCCCAGAACCCAGCCTCACTCTTGGTCCTGCTCACCAGGAGGGAAGACACAAGCTCCAGGACCACCACAGCCCTGCAGCCTGATGTGTCAGGACCCAGCCTACCCACCAGCAGGCCAGCACTAGCTCTGGGAAATGTGGGCCCTGGCCTGCCTGCTAGTAGGCCAATACTAGGTCTAGGACAATTTGGTCCCTCATCCAGCCATGCTAGGATGCAATCTCATTGCCAGCATGCCAACACTAGTTTCGGGACACCCCAGATTCCACAACCAGAGTGTCAGGAACTGACCCTGCTAACTAGTGGGCTGACATCATCCCAGGGACTTCCAGGGCTCTGCAACCAGAGACCCCTGGATCTGGCTCTGCCCAACAGTGAGCCAGCTATAGCCCTGGGAAGCCCCAGGCCCTGGCACTGCCTAACAGTTGGCTGATACTAGCTCTGAGACACTTTGGACCCCTCATCCAACTATCCTGGAATCCAGCCTCATGCACCAGTGTGTCAGTATCAGCTTTGGGGCATCCTGGACCCTGCAGCCAATCATTTCAAGAATCCCTATCAGCAGATCTGGGATCCTAGCCCCACAACTATCCACCCCAGAACCCATCTCTGCCCATCAGTGGCCCAGTACTAACCCTGGGACTCTGTAGCCAGCTACCTCATGACCAAGCCCCACTCACCAGTGGCTGGAAGCCTCTCCACAAGGTAGGACCTGACAACCAAATGAAGCAGGAGCCAGTCACGCTTACTACACTACTCACGGTAATCAGCCCACCACAACTGAAGGACCCATGCAGCCCACAGAGGAGGACTTTACTAGAGTATACAACTTGGCTAG